AGCTAGGGCATTCATTTTTCCAGATAAAGCCAGAGAGAGAGCTCGGTGGCTTGAGATTTTCTTCGTGTGTGAGAGAGACTAGAGGAAATTGAGCTACAACTGCATATTCTATGTTAAACCCCTCAAGTAAAAGAAGCTAAACTCTTAAATATCGATGTGCCTTTTGATGTAAGAGTTGAAATTTTATTAAGAAACTCCACAGTTAAGCATGCTCATTACAAAACAATCCTACGATAGGCGACCTCCTGGGAACTTACACGAACAGGACAAAACCGTGAGGTCCTTAGACCAAAGCGAACAATTTTTTTATAGTTAAGAGTTTTGGTTGTTACAAATAATATTAGAGCAATATACCAGCCAAAAGATGAGAATCAAGTACCATACAAGATAAAGTGCTATGCTATGAGAGTCACCTCTTAAATTATGTATGGGACAAAGTGCTACATGGCGGGAGTCACCACTTGAGCTTGTAAGGGTCATCTCTAAAATCCTATATGGCTTGTGGATGATTCTGGGATAAAGATATTGATGAGGATGTCAGTTACTTTAGTTGAGGAGATTGTTAAATCACTTAAGTAAAAGAACTCTTAAACATCGAGATGCTTTTTGGTGTAATGGTTAAAATTTTATTAAGAAACTCCACAATTAAGTATGATTATTCCAGAGAATAATCATGCACAAGTGTAACCAAAGAGAATGTGTTGACATAATATAAAGTGGAAATAAGTGGTATGGATGCTGGTGGTAAATTTATGCTTTATATATATATATATATATATAATGTCACAGCACTCTGTACGGAAATAGTAGACAAAACTCTGCAGTATATTATCTCCAACCTCTTCACGATTTGTTCTTCTTTGGGGCATAACTGATTATGGTTTGATGGGCTTTCATGTGCTTCTCTCGAGGTGCCGGAGGATGGGCATCCTTCATTGGCAGCGTTACTCTTATTAGGGCGTTCGGGGAGGTGGCAATCAATTGCTACGGTTAAGTTCTGCCAGGTTCTACTGGCTTTCGTGACAATGGTGACCGACTTCATTTGAAAGAATTCCATCTCTTCTATCGCAGGATCGTTGAGGCTGACTTCTATTCATCAAATTAGTATCTTCTTTAATCTTTATGTGTTTTTCTGTTATGAATCTTGTTTGGTAATGTTTACTTGAACTGGGTAGTCATGAAGCTCTTTTACTTGTATTCTGCTATTTTTGTTTTCTATGAGATAATAAGGGTGATGGAATTGCAAACCTTGACGATATAAACGCAGGTATTAGAATGTAGGTGATGTTTGAATAAAGATTTGGTGGTTAAAATTGATAATTTTTTAGTGAATACAATGTGGAAAAAGAATGTCACAGCGAACTAATAGGTTTTGTTTGGTTTGGATGAATTAAGTGGAAGGGGAATAGTATTTACCTCATAATTACATCATGATTGTTTAACTTGTGCTCATTTTTAATTTATTGGTTATTCATTCAAATCAAACAAAAAAGAAAATTTATTTTTCGTTCTGCTTACTTTTAACCTGGCAGGTCAAACCCCATCAGGGGGGTGCTACCCTTGGACCACCGACATATCTACGAAGCATACAACAATGAACAAATAGGTATGAAAAAATAACTCTATACTTTTACTTAAAAGTTTGCCCCACCTGGAAATTAAGGCTGGATCTGCCCCTGCTTGCAATGCCTCCTTAACCAAACAAGTGGGTTAAAAAAATAATTTCAATTCAATTATTCTACAGTTTTCACTTCAATTCCTTTCCATTACCTCTTTGCCAACCTTCATGGCAAATAAATTTATAGATCAATTTCATGAAGTGTTAAACTACAATTAGACTGAATATATTCTATATAGATCAGAGTGTTGTGCAATAAAGAGGTCATTGATCACAAAGTTAAGGTTGCATATGGTTTAATATAAAACCAGGCTTGTTCAGCTAAGTTTTGGTTTGGTTTTCAGTTTGTATGCTAATTGCACTAGCAGGATATTGTAAGGTAAGGAATTGTGACAAATCTTGTTCAGGAAAGACTATAGGAATCCAGAAGAGCTTTTCACTGTATTAACTACTTAGAAGGAAATAAATCCACCAACAGTCCATACCACACCTAGTTTTAGCAATAATGAAAAATAGTTTTCAGGTGCAAAGCAACTTTTGTTAAATCAACAGTTGCAGGAACGGCTAAAGCAAAGTTAAACAGTTAAAACAAATCCTATAAAGATGAATAGGGTATTTTTTTTTCCTTATATGCTTTTATCATATCAATTTGGTTTGGTTTATTTCGTTTTGACAGTACCTTAAACTTAGAGCAAGCAAAGAAATTATAACTAGAAAAAAAATCTCAAACCTAGACCAAATAGTTCCTATAAGCAAAGTAAGGTTATGTTTGGTTCACCTCTTGGGTTTTGTAGATTTTTTTGGCCACCCCTAAGCCAAGTTAAGTTGGAAGAAATAACTATGTTAAGATGGTCATGCAGTGAAGTTAGGAAAGATGAATGTAGAAATGAGTTTGTTACAGAGATGGTATGAAGTAGCATCTATTGAAGAAAATGAAAAAATCTTTTGTATTTTCTTGTGTATACGCAATAGAGGGTAGAAGATGCAATTGATAACACGGGTAGATAAGTTTAATGCATATTGGTTAAAATGGAGAATGAGTAGGCCAAAGCCAACCAACATGACTAGAAGTTGTCCAAAATACCCTGCACAAACTAATCTTTCTTTTGTAGAAATCAACTTAACATCAATGAATATAAAATGTGGATTCATAATCCCAACAATATGTATTGGATTTAGGACTAATGATGTTGATAAAAATTAAAAAATAGGAACCGATAGATGCAGCAATATGTGCATGGTTATCTTACTGCAAGCTATAAATTTGCTTGCAAGTGTGTATGAATGAAAGAAAGGTTTTGTTTATCAGTCAAATAATTTTTACATTTTTTTGTCTTCTTTAAGAGCCTAATGTTTGACGCCTAGTTAGAGGTGCCCTTGACCAGCTGACCTCGAGCACAACTTGCGTTCAAAGACTATGGTTCGTGGGATTCTACAATTCACATTATGTATTGCATTTCGCTGCGCTCTTCATCAACGCGAGAGCCGAGAGTCATGTCAATCCATCTGGCGTGCAACAACACCCCATGCCACGAAACCTATTTTAGGGCTCATGTTTTGATATACGAAAGGCTTTGTTTATCGTAATGAGATCAAGGCTTGATGTTTTTTTTGTTATTGTAAGAGCCTAATGGTCTTTATGATTTTGTGTTGACGCATATTGAGAGAGAGTTGATTGCAAATGATTGGTTCATATTGCCAAAGTTTGCTTTTTCTTATCTCTAGAGCGGGCAAACAAGTATAAAAATGGAGACAACATGAGATTTTGTATGCCAATTGTAACGAAAAGCTTTGTTATCCATGAAAAAAAGTATTTGGTTCATCAAAAATATTCTTTTATCATGGTTCACCCACAGTTGCAATGAGAACCTATAAGATGGTGTTTCTGAGTTTTGTTTTCATTTGAAAATACTTTATTTTTGCGGTGCTTCTTATTCTTTTGTGGAAATTGAAAATTTTTATTGCTGTTGGATGTTTAAATGTTTAGTTTAGAAGTTAATCCAGGTGATCGAGAGCTCAGTTAAAGAATAAAAATTGTTTAGTTTAGGTGCTCATTACAGCAGTATCAAGATATTTATATATCTAGCTTAGAGTGTATATAGACGGTAATGTCCTAGGAAGTTACATTACATCAATAATCATAGAGAGTGGCTGCAGGATGAAGTGGCGACAAGTCTAATGTGGTAAAACCCTTCTCAAATAGAGGTCCAAGTGGTATCTACAAACAATTATAAAGAGTTCCCTTACAATTCCTATTGCCATAGGGTGACGAGTAAAGGAATGGTCGCTAAGGCTTTGTTTGAGACGGTTTTCTTACTGTTTTTTAAAGCGACTTTTTAGTACAAAACAATTAATTTTTGGACTAGAAAACTGCTTTAAGAAGTAGGAAGAAAGTCGTCCCAAACGAAACCTAAGTGGGGGGCTAATCAAAGGCCTATAAGTTATCAAGAAATGCACACGTTAAGGAGATATGATATGAGAAGATGGTGGGTCATGGCTAACGCGGTTTGTGGACATAAGATTCAGGAGTTTTTATTTCTAAGCATTCCTAGGATGTTGCTGGTCTTGTCCTAATAGAGAAGGCAATAAATGGCTCTACTTGTGGTGAGAAAGACTGCTAAAATTGGGGAAGAGCCAAGGGGATAGCTTTTATTGCCTCCAAAATTGATGAGAAAAGTGTTAGGATTAATTGGCAATGGGTGATGGTCTTCTAGAAGATGATTTCTCATGCATAGGGCTATACATGAAGATCTTTAAAAAGGAAAAAAAAATATTTTGTTCAAATATTTTTTTTTTAGAAAGTGAATTTGAGATGCCATTGGGCCTTAGGGAAGGGTTAAATGAAGTTATGTTTCCCTAGTGTTAAGTAGGTGGTAAGGGTGTCTCCAGTCGAACTCCAAATGGTTGTAAAGCGTAGCTGGTTTGCTCCATTTAAATGACAAAAAAATGGCTAATCGGTGGAGGGTGAACAATGCGACGCCAATTTTGGCATTTGTTCACCTACGCGATTTTTCTGTTTCAACCGGATTTGCCGAAGAAACGCGCGAAAGAGGAGAAAGATGTTTACCTTCACAGAAGCGCGTAAAATGGAGTTCGATTGTAGATGAATCACGAAATTTTTTAGTTTCACTGCATTTTGGAGTGAAAAATGAGATTTTCAGTTGGAGATGCTCTAATACCCTAAGTAGGGGTGTCAATATTTGACACGACACGAAAACCCGACCCGGACCCGACCCGAAAAATCCGGGTTGGACCCAACCCGATTTCAAAACTGGTCGGGTTCGGGTCTCAGAAATCGACCCGTTTGAAAAACGAGTCGGGTTCGGGTTGACCCGACGGGTTGTCGGGTCAACCCGCGAACCCGTTTTAACCTAACCCGCGGACCTACCCGCCCCACTGTCGCGCGAAAAACGGCATGACCACGCCCCGCTGCCGCGTGAGTCACGACCCTGCCTTGCTGCCGCGCCGCGCGTCCCCTCGCAACCCTGCCCCGCTCCGCGCACGACCCCACTCCCGGGTCGGGTCGGGTCAACCCGGCAACCTGCCGACCTGCCGGGTCGGTTCTGGGTTCGCTTTTTCGACCCGTTTACCTAACCGGGTCGGGTTAGGGTCGACCCGAATCCGACCCGTGACCCGAAACTGACACCCCTAAGTCCCCAAGGAGAGAGCCATCAAGAGGTTACTAATAGAGATGCCCTAAATATATAGTATTCGGTGCTTAGGAAAGGGATTGCTTGCCAAGGTTGAAAAGAGGAGATGGCCCCACAAAGATCGCACTAGATGCCCATGAAGCCATGAGTTCTTGGGAGAAATTGTTGAGAAGGGTGACTTCCTTTGAGAAGGTTTTGACATGGCTTTCAGAAGGTCATTGAGGAGAGGGGCTTCTTGGGACATGAAGCTAACATGATATGATAAAGTGAAAATTCACAACATGTCAACAATATGACATCATGTTATTGATTCAAGTATTTTATAAAATTTACGTTAAAGAGAGGAAAAATATTGATTAAGCGGATAATAAAAATTTTAAATGATATTATTATTTATGTAAAGCAAGTATTACTCATTGATATTAAACTACATGAATATTAGATATTTGCAACAAGATTTGCAATAAGAGATTGTGATCGAGCATATGAGGAACTGAAGGCAGGTCTTGATGTATAAATTTGTCATTGTGATAGAATTTTTGGTTAAGGGGTTGTTTGTTGGCTAAAAATGGAATGCGATGTAAAAGAAATATTTCATTGCGATTAGTGTAAAATTATGTATTGTAAAATGAATACTTTGGAGTTGTTTCATTAATGAGTGTAAAGTAAATTTGGATGAATGACTTATTTTATTTTATTTAAATTAAAATGAATACAGTGTAAAATTTTAAGATGGTGGAGACTGGCAAGTGGCGGCGGTGGTGGTTGGCGGTGGCCGGCGGTGATGGTGGCCAGAGGGTGGTGGTGGTAGTGGTTGGTGTTAGATGGTGCTGAATGCAGTGGTGGATGGTGATGACGGCAAGTGGCGGCGGATTTATTGTAGCGGCAGTTGTCGGTGTGGGTGGTCGCCGATTGTGGTTGGCGGCCGGCAACGGGTAGCGGAAAGCGGTGATGGGCGGGGCAGCTGGTTGTGGCCGACCTTGCTTGCGGTGTCAATAATTTTCGCATAAAATTGTCGAGAATCGTTTACTTCAAAAAATGAGTTAAATTCTTTTACACAATATTTACTATATTTTAATTTGCATTTTTTTTTCATTCAACCAAACATTAAACTTTTCAAAATCACTATAGTGGCTTTACGCCTATTTTATTTCCAATCATATGCGATGAGAGATAAAAATAAATAAATCACTAAATCAGAAAAAGAGAGAAAGAAGGAGAGAGTAATTATTATTATGAAAATAATTTGTAAAAAAAAAAGGAGAGAGTAATGCTGAGATAATGAGTGTATGCCATATAAAACTCTATTTCATTTCTCTCTCTCTTAATATATATATAGATGCTTAGGCGAATGTATATTCATAATCATTATAGAAAAAAAAATATTAATAAAATTTTGTCTCTATTTTCGTGGCATTTACATCAAAGCTATAAACATTTTTTAATTCATAAATATATTTAAAAAAATTTAAATTTACATAGAAATTAATTTGACATGTGAGCTAAAATTAAAAATGGCACCCCATATCAAGCCGACACTAGCGGGCCCCTCCTTTGATCCGATAGGATCGACACAGTCATACTTGTAGCCGTTGAGCTGTCGACGTACTTCTCGCAGTGCAATGCCAGTCCTGCCCAAGAAATATAATATAGTAATTCTTCATTCATCAAAGCTTTATCAAGATAAATTATGCCACGGCCTAATGGGAGATAAATTATGTTGTAACAATTTTGCAAAAAAAAAATTTTCCTGCACATGTGTTGAAATTATAGGGGTGCATATGAAGAGATTATTATGTGCGGAGTCGGACTGAGAGAACAGTTCGGTTTTATGATTGTGTGCAATAAAAACACAGCGGTGAACAATAACTATGTTTTTATTGTTCGCAGTCAGTCATAAAATCGAATGACTCTGTGGATCATGACTCCACACGTAATAATCTCTCTTGTAAATGAATTAGAGTTTAATTAGTGTCCTTTTTAATTTGAGCTTGAGCTTAGTTAATTAATTGAGTTTTAGCTAATGCTCGATCTTTATTTTACGAGCTGGAGCTGGAGCTGGCTCATGAGCTAACAAATTTATTATGATATAGAGAAAAATGATTATGATTCAAGCAATGATAAAGATAAAAATGTGAGATAGATTTTATAATCATTAATTTTTTACAATTTTGCATTTAAAATCACGAATGCTAATATATTTTACGTGTATTTTATATTAATATATATTTTAAACCAGCCAACTTGCTAGCTAACGAGTCAAGTTAGGATATCCTCCAACTTTACTTATTAGTTCATCGAGCCAACCTTACAAGTCATTTATCGAGACCGACCTCACTTGCACCCCTAAGAATTACATTCATATCCAACTTTCTTTTATGATGTTTATATTTTAGAAAATAATGTCATTTTTATTTGCATAATGAAGAATATATATATATATATATATCTTAATTTTTTGGGGAAATATATAATTACAATATTGTTCAACAGTTTTATGCACTTTCTAACAGAGTTTACAAACATATAAAATGAAAGAAAAATATAATATTTAACAATTCTAATTGACCGTACAACACAAAGCCAACAACATTTAGCATTTATGATTAGGACAAAGAGTGACAAATGTCTCTTTCTAAAATTTCATTGGATTTGAGAGTATATAGTTACTTATGTAGTATTTGTGACATTTAAAAATTGTTGTGAACTTTTCTGCACAGTTGTTATGTTAATTATTTGTATATTGCACTCATTTAGGACTTGTTTGGAGTTAGTTTTTATTATTATTTTGATTTTCAAATTATTATTATATTTTAATTTGATTATAATTTTTTCTTATTTTAAAAATATAACTTCTTAATGAGCTTACGAGTCGAGTTTATCGAGTTACGAGTTCGAGCTCGAGCATATACTCGAGCTTTTATATTAAACATGCTTAAGCTCAAACTTAATCTGGCATGGCTTGAAGGCCCGTTAAGCTGCTCAACTAACTTAAAACATATTAAAGTTTACTTAAATAAACATTATATAACTATTTTCATATTTTTAAATTAATTTTATATTTATAATAAAAACTCTTAAAAAATCATAAATTTTAATTTAAAATTAAGAGATCGAGCTCAACAATCGAGTTAAACTCGAGCTTTACAAACGAGCTCGAGCCTATAAACTTTTTTAATGAGCTTGAACATAGTAAAAGAGCTCAACCTCAGCAAGAGCTAA